GAACAGAAGGAAGATGAGTCCTTCAGATAGCCTGTTGGTGCTGCTGCATAAAACAAGGCATGTGGACAGCAGCATATGCCTTCTTATAAAAGAGAATCTCACCCTTCCTGGAGGCCTCTGTGAATATAAATCTCCTCTAAAACAAGACACATACTTCCTGCAGGGCTTGTTTTAACCCAAGCCATACATACCATTAGAAAGTTATTATTGTTGTTGTGTGCCTTCAAGAGACAATCTGACTCATCTGAAAAGATGCTAATCCTAAGTGCATATCCTCCAACATTTTACAGATGAAAACTGGGACACAGGTGGCCAAACAACATCAGAATGTGCTCATGATAGTTATGCAGTCTCTGAGCAAACAGTTGTTTAATTCTGCCAGCCACAGACACTGGCGAAACGTCAAAAAGAAACTCTTCTAGAACATGGCCACACAGCCCAAAAAACCCACAAAAAAACTATGGATGCTGGCCATGAAAGCCTATGACTTCACCAGTTGCTTAATTGCTTTTAAAAACTTTTTATACAATGATTTTTTTTAAAATTTTTTTTAGTGGTGCCTTGTTTTAAACTGCTTGTAAGCCACCTTGGATCCTGTACAAAGGGAACGGCAGGATAGTAATTAAATTAATTAAATAAAAAATGGGAAAGGTTATTAATGAGGTAGAATAGCAATAGCAATAGCATTTACATTTCTGTACTGCTTCATAGTGAACTTAGCACTCTTTAAGTGGTTTACAGTCTATACGCCAATTGCCCCAACAAGCTTAGGATGCATTTTACTGACCTATGAAAGGAGGGAAGGCTGAGTCAACCTTGGAGCCCTGGGATCGAACTCATAACATTGTGGCTGCAGGACTGGCATTTAAACACTGCACCACTAGGGCTTGTGTAAAATGCACAAGGAAAGAGAAGTTGCAGGAGTTTGCTTTGAATGAGCCTATTGGGAAGGATTCGATTGTATCCCACTCCACCACTGCTGAGTTTTGTTGTTGTTGTGTACCTTCAAGTTGTTTCCAGCTTATGGCAACCCTAAAACTACCCTATATTGGAGTTTTTCTGTCAAGATTTGTTCAGAGGGTTGCCTTTGCCTCCCCCTGAGGCTGAGAGTATGTGACTTGCTGAAGGTCA